AAGGTTACCCTGTTGTTTTAAATTAAGATACCTCTAACTGTCCTAATTAAATATTTTAAGATCCTTAAATGAAAATAATTTTTTTTATTAAACTACGAAACTTATTCCAAGTGAAGCTGAAACTAGATGATTCAAAAAATATTTTAATTTTCAACAAATATATAAGTTCAATTCAGAAATGGCATTTTAATGGTAACAGGAGTGTAAGTGTGACGGAACTTCGCCCCTTCCCAGAATAAATAGTTTTTTCATGCTGCCCACTGATTATGCCGCACTTTACAGAGCAACACCTCCGAACCTCTATGATTGGCCTATGATTATTGCCTGCGTGTGTATCTAACAGCAACAGCAACAGCACGGCGGCAACACCTAGAGCACCGCAGCAACACCAACGAATCCAGCAGCCTCATCGCGTGCAAAGTGTGAGCTCGTGCTTGGTTAATGATGATGATAGCTTTTTGATGCTAATGATAGACAACCGGGCCACAAGTTCTATGCGCTGGCTGTAATCCAATTCGGAAGTCGCACAATTGTACACAGACTGAAAGTGAAATTGCTGAGGCGGAAGGCGCGGGTCTGTGTTTGCCGATAATCGTGCAATCAATTAAGGTTAATTGCCATTTAACGCAATCCGTCGAATCTGCATTGGTCCCGCAGCACACAACTTGCAGCGATTATGCAAAATCGAACAGGAACAGTTAGTTTTCCGAACTCGCGACGATCGGCGGCAATTTGGGACCTTCGTGCTAAGGTCCAATTTCGGTTACCGCCAACAAAATTGCAGTAGCCGCCGATCGGCAGACAAAAAATGTTGATATTCTAATTGCTCTTCGCCGCCGCATTATGATTTGTAATTTGAAGTTATTGGAGCTACTGGCTTTTGCCCGCGGCGGCATCACATGCAAATTGATCTCCTTTTTTGGAAATTTGGCGCTTCTAACGGTAATGCGTTTGGGCCAAGTTCATTGAGTCGGCTTATTGGAAGCTGGAAATGTGTGTTTATCTGTCTGGCCCATTTGCATATACCATAAAAATTAAGGAGACTGGACCTGAAGAAGTTTTCAAGGTTAATCGTTGACCGGTGGAGTTTGATAATCGTTTATATGGGTTTTATGTTTATATATCTGCTTCCTATCATATCTATCAGATTCAAGTTATGCACAGGCAGAAAATTAGTCACGCGCCTTTTTTGCGAAATTCAGTTTATACATTAATTCTGCATCATCTAGCAACGTTATAAAGAAATTTAGGACAATTAAGGAAAAATCGTGGTTAATGACGCCAGTCAACAGATAGGTTCCTGCAACTGTAATGCTGGCCGAAACAATTTTTTTAATGGTATTTTATTTATTTTTAAATTGACTAATAGATTAGCGGACAAAACATGTATTAAGATTGATTAATATGATCATTCCATGATTGCTAGTGTCAATTTAACAGGTTAATCTCAACATATTATTGACGAAATTCAGATGGCTTTTAAGTAAAAGAAGTTTAAATAAATACTCTCACTAATGTGTTGGCTTTATCCATTATACATAATTGAACATCCCTAAGCAGCAACCCTTTTAAAACACAAATGGCAATGACTTTCGAAAACGGGAAGAGCCTTTAAAGTGCCCCCAATTTGATGAGTAATTAATGTCAAAATTTGCGGAGTGCGACCTTATCGACGGGGACATCTATCTCACTTCCCCATATCATTTTGCTCCGGATCTCGGATGAATATACTCGTGCCTAAGTGAAAGCAGCTGTCAGGACGGCAATTAAACTGTCATCAGTTGCACAAAATTTGGAACATTTCGAAATTTTGAAATTTGATTTTAATTGGCCAAAGACAAAGTGTCGGAGTGTGGGCAGCTGTCACAGCAATGTGACGAGAGTCGCAACCCCCGGAGCCCTGAAACCCTGGGGCCGTGGAGCCCTGCTGCTCCGCAAACCGCCAAAACTAATTTCCTCATTGGCGGTTGCGCCATTTTGCCACTTAACGCATCATCACTTTGGCTAATTTGTTGCCATTTGCCGTTGGCCCCGCCAACTGATTGCCTCATCGATCTGCCATGACCTTGGTGGGCTAATGATGCAGCCGCAACTGCCGCTGATGGAGCTGTAAATCTGCAACACAAATGCAAACAGTAAACAGTAAACGCTCGATTGCAATCAGCGGCGCCGCATCTCTATCACATGGCATCTGCGGAGCAACTTGCATCATTACCGATGACTCGGATTGGGGTTCGTTGCAGCATCCTGGACTTGCCGCGTTTTACGCGCTTCAATGATTTGCTTGTGGTCTCTGGATCCCAGTTCGTATTTCAGTCGCAGACTCGGACCGCCCGATTAAACGTATGCAACTCTTAACCTTCGCTTAAATCTGCTCTGATTGACAACATCAATCGCTGCAGCGGAGCAGCGGAACGTTGCAAGATCATTGCAGATGCAGATACAAGTTCAGATGCAGATGCAAATACACAACAGTTTCTGCTGCGGTGGTTGTTTTTGTTGTAACTACATTTATTTTGTGGTTCGGCAAGTGTTTATTTGTTTGTTTATTTATACTATCGACAGAGGATAGTATGAGCCAAGTTTATACTATCTAAATAAGTAAAACCGATATTTAAAAAATGTTATTTATATATAATATGATTTAATTTTCTCATTGGAATAAAAATGAATAATGGTACTAAATATGTATTAACTATTAACACATGTTTAAATATCATGAATAACCTTTTACTTGCTATATCCATTTTCATTAAAGTAAAAATTATTTCTTGCGTATTGTCTTTTCAGTTATTCATTCCTTATCGGTATAGTAGGTTCTCCAAATATTTCAATATCACACAAAAACTGGATGAATATATGGCAACGAATCTACATTAGTTGTGGCTTTTATTTTGAATTTAGTCTCCAATTTCTTAGACAGAAAAACAACAATTACCTTTTGTATTGATTTGTACACCCTTGCAGAGGGTATTATAATTTCAGTCAAAAGTTTGCAACGCAGTAAAGGGGACATTTCCGATCCTATAAAGTATATGTATTCTTGATCAGCATCACCAGAAGAGTCGATCTAGCCATGTCCGTCTGTCTGTCCGTCCGTCCGGTTCCGCGAAAACTAGTCCCTGACTTTAAAAGCTATCTGCTTAAAACATTCTCAAAAGTTGTCTTTCTTTTGCAGGTATACATCATATAGTAATTATTTACTATATCAGAATTACGCTTTTAATTTTGTCAAAATCAAACAACAATAACATATAGTTGCCATAGACACGATGGCAAAATGCAGCTCAAAATCGACATAGCTTTATTGTTTTTAGTAATATAGGCATAGAAATCGAAATGTTGTCGTTTTGTTATAACTGCAAGGGTATATAAACTTCAGCTTGCCGAAGTTTGCTTCCTTAATGGTTTATTATAAGACTAAGGAAGATATATTTCTCTCGGTCTAAGATCAATTAAAATCAAAAATTATGAATGTTTCTCACACCTAGCCCGGTGTTTAAGCCACACTTTAAGAAGATCCAATAGCATTAACCGCGGCATTTAACATACAATTTCAGCACGTTAAGCTCACTTAATTACCAGAACCACCCAGAAGCTGCTACCGTCGATGCCTAACACAAATCACCGACTTTAATGCGACAGGTCATTCTGGCTAGGTCCGCGGTCCAAAATTGACATGACAACGGCAATACTTCAATGCGCCGCTGCTCCTCCCTTCCGCCAATCTTCCTCGGACTGGGCTCAACGGCAGGAGCCAGACATACTCGTATTTTTGGTGTTAAAATGGATATAGCTGCATTTTATTATGATTATTATGATTTTCGTCAGGCGGCGGGCACAGGGAAAAAGTACAAATCATTGACGAGTGAGCGGCACTAAACTCATCAGCGGAGGAAGCGGTGGCAGGGGTTTTGGGAGGAAGAAGTGCCGGCCGATGGAGATGGAGATGGCCAAGAAGTAACCGGTAGCAACGGTAGCCGATCGCCGATGCCAAGTGCTGGCAAGCCGCGTTAATGGCCAGGCCAACTGGGGAAGGAATGAAAGGCAGGGGAGGACTGCCCATGGATGGGGGCTCAATGAGAATTCCGTGCATTTGCAATCGCACTTGGCCAGCGGTTACGTCCGGTCGCCGGTGGGTCAGGAGCTGGAGAAGTCTCCAGATGTGTGCTACAGTGGGTGCTGGAGATGCCTAACACAAAACCGCTTACTATAACTGTTCAGCACTTATATCGTTTAGAACTTTAAATGAATGTTTGTGACAGCACTTATCGAAACTAAATAGTTTCAACCCATTTGGATTTTTCAGGATTAGATTCTGAATTAAATTTCTAATATCCTAAGGAATAATTGAAATTCTTGTCTCCTGTTTAATTGTAGGTATACAATATTTTCGTCAAATATGAAATATAGATGTTATAAACCAAATTTGTAATATCAAAACGCGAGCTAAGCCAGAGAAACCAAAATATATTTTAATTAGTTTCAATAAGGACATTTGGAATGCAAAGTCAAAGTTCCAGTTACATTTTCTGTTTCGCAATGAGTTATTATTCGAATGATTTTGTTACTTAAACAAATTTTAAAAACGTTTTGATATGCTCTTATTGTTGAATTTAGTATGATTGTATTGAATTAATTTTTATTCTGATTTCAATATCATCACCCCATAATAAACAGTCAATTTGTAGTTCTTACATATTAAGTATACGCAGTCATTGAACTTAAAGCAAGGTCAACAACTATTTTCAACTTTTAGTAACGACGTGACGAACGCACCCTTAATCTACAAGATTTCTGATATCAAATTCCATGACAAAAAATTATTTTGAATTCGACTAATCAGAAACTTTATAAAATCTTCTTCTTCGGTTCGCTTTTATGGAGAGCGCACTGTAGCAGGCCGCTTCTGTTTGCTGCCGATGACGACGTTGAAATCTTTAACGCGTTCTGCGCTTGGCATGATCATTATCGCCGGTTTCGTTTTACGCAACTGCTTCTCAACTCATTTGGCTCTGGCTTTGGTCCCAGTGCAACTGCAATGCAGCGGCAACTGCAGCAAGCGCAGCAGCAACAATTGCAGCAGTCGGGCAGTCGGTTTTGGGTGATCCATCAATTGGACTCGTACTCTGGCCGTGTCCAAATGCAACTTCTGGCCATGATATATGCTCATTGCACAAAGCTCCACTCGGAGATGGAGACCAGGTCTTTTCTGGTCCGCTCTGTTCTTCGTTGGGCAATTTGATTTGCTACCATTTGGAAGACAAGTTGGCGGCTCCTGATTACTTGTTGTGGTGGCATCAAAAACAAATAAAAGCTTAAATTGTGTTCGGATCATAAAGCAAAAAGGGTTTAACCCATTGATTGTCTGTTGATTGCCATTTATGGCCACTTTCGGCGGTCGAGAATGTCTTTGCATCGCAAGGGGATCTGGGTGGCTTCCGCCAGCTTTCCTGTTTTTGGCGGTTTTACAACTTCACAGTTATGATTGGGCTAATGAGTGTAGAAAGGCAGTATCTCCAGTTGTGCAGGAAGATCGCCCCATCGTTTGCGGTGGTAATTGTGTGAAACAAGTTGCGGATTCACACATTTAGCGGAAAGTGCACTGCGAATAAATCTTACAATTTTCATATTGTCAGTAAAGTCTAGGATAACTACAGCTTAATGCAAATTTCTTGAATTTCTAAAAAATCTTTCTATTATATAATCTGTCAATTGAACTCTGTTCACCTATTTTGACGATACTACATTTTAAAATTCCCTGAATTTCGATTCAAGACCTAAGGACCAATTAACTGTAAAGATTGTTAAGGCTCTACAGTAGGACTCTGGGAGTTTGTAATTTTAAAAAATTTCAAACTATATTCTACAAATTCAAAAAGGTATTAAACACAATTTGGTTTATTGATTTTTTTGTATAACAGCTTTCGTTTGGAACGTGTTTTACAAGGGACGCAGCTTCCACAAAATATTTTTATTATATGACCCCATAGATTACGTATACGCCTCAGTCCCGACCGTTTGGAAATGCAACATGATGAAACCTGCCGTCGTCGACATTTATGAGCCATAAACTCTGGGCTTACATTGTGGCCGGCCAACAACTACAACTAATTGGGTCAAAACGCGTCTGCGAGGGTCCAAACCACACCTGTTGGCAGGTGATCGCTGGAAGTGACCGCAATGACGTTTCACTCAAGGCACGGCAATGCATTTGCAATGCACAAATAAATAAATACATTTTTGACAGAAAGATGACGCGGGATGATGACAATAGAAGTGATGACATGGCCGATACTGTGGCCCTTCCTCTGCCTGGCTGTTTCCCATTTGGCCAGTTCTACGCTCCACCTGAAGCCATCTGAGGCGCACCTTTAGCCGCAGCTAATTGTGCCCTGTCTCTCCGTTTTCGGGGCACCAACTTGGCTCTGAGCGGCCTTTCTGGCAGCAGTTTCCACTGGCAAATGGCATAAATTTAAATTTTAATTTACTGCCTCGTCAATTGAAGTCGTGTCCGGGCACTTGGAACCCGTCCCAGGTACGCGGTTGGCCGGGCCTGCTATTTCATTTCATTTCATTTATTTATTTTGAGCTACTTGCAAATAATTGCATAAATAAATATTTTAAAAAAGGTACCCAGCCCGCTCTCACGCACACTCTCCTCGCTCCTCTCCCCTTAATTTGTTGTATTTTGATTACAATCGTTCGTCCGGCTGGAGTTGAGCAGATGTGGCTGGAGTTGGCCAAGAGGCTCGTCACCCGCAGATTGAAGCGATGTGATTGCCTCCGCCAGTTGAGACGTTTGAGCCTGTTCCAGAAACTGGCCCAGATCTCCTCGGACTGGGACAATTTATCAATGAAACGATGGATTGCAGATGCGAGTGCCCCGCTGCTGGTGGTGACATGAATTGGGCGAATGCAAATTTTGCATTAGATACACAACATCGCATCGCAAATTGGATCACGAGGGCAAAGAAACTAGCATTTAGTCAGCCAAGCTAATTTTATTTATTTATACACATGAATTGCACTAGGGTTTTAAGTCTTGTATATTGTTAGATATGTATGTGAGCGACGTATAGCAAATGTCTGCATCTTTGGGCGACCAGAAACTTTATCTCTTTTAGCTTGTTTTTCGGTTTTAAAAACTCGATTATAACACAATTAAAATGTAATTAGTATATTTAGAAGTACATTTTAGTATTTTATACTCATCCCAAATATTTTTCGCTTTGATTTTTATTCATTTCAATATTTAATTTTACCATTTTGCATATAAATCAAATAGAACACATTTTTAACCCAATATTTTCGTTAATTAAAATATTTTAAAATTAAATCATGCAATTAAAAATGCATTTCACTTAACATTGTGATTTCATATTTAATTTTTATATCAAATTTTTAGTCAATAGACAGATATCTATTTTTACTACGGACATAAGCGTAATTTCACTACACATTTACATAAATTCCTGTAAGAACGAGGAAAAAATCTTAAGGAATGTACAAAGCTTAAGAAAAATCCCCTGTACTGAATTATTTTTCCATTCCACTAGTTAGTCATAATATGCAATAACAACATAATCGCCCAGTCTTACAAACCCGAATCTGACCCCCACGAACATATACAAACAAGACGACAGCGAATTGACATATGCACACACGATTAACAAGTGTTTAAATCACAATAAAACTTTAAATCCCAGCAGATGAAGCAATAAAACCATAAAAAACTCCAAGAAAAGAAAATCCAAAATAAACGAACTCCATACCAGATTGTCTGTCATTGGTTTCAGCGATGAAGGCATGCAAAAAACTTTGCTGCTAAACGAAGGAATACGAAAAAAATACAGAACTTACGCACCCAAAAATTGGTCAATAAAATCATCGACAAAACTTTTGTTTAGCCGAGTACAAAGGACACCCAGTCGCAAAGACAAGGAGATGAAATCGGAGAGGGAGACTGAAAAAATAACTTTTTGCGGGGCGTGTGCGCTGAGCCAGTGGACAAAAAACATTCCCAGGGCAATAAAAATGACAACAGTTACAAAGTGGCAGCGGGAGATACGAATACTGGCGAAGACCAACTCAGTCTGGCTCACACGCACACTCGGACGGGGATTAAGCCAATTTAACAGATGCTTAAAGTCAGAACACTCGTAATCACATATTGGATTAACGCTGCCTAGTGTGAGCTTCAACTGCAGCCTTGTGTTGGCAACGCAGAGGCTTCCACAAGTGAGTCACTTGCATGAGAAGAGTGATTGGGGAGAAGAAATACCCTTTATCACACGTTTATTTAAGGATAATAAAATGCAAGGTAATAATCTAAAAAATATGCTTCTGGGCAAACTATAAATTAGAATTGCTTTCAGGGAGCCAAAATCTTTGGTAAAAGTTATGAAAATGATGACCGCATAATTAAAATGTGGTATCAATATAGTCCCCTAAATTAAATTTATTGCGATGTTTTAGTTCTATTTAGTATACCGACTGGCATAACTCATTTATTTAATTATTTCTTTTTTTATGTGATAATTCCCATTTTATGTTAAAAGATCTTAAAAACCCAATGCAGACAATAGCATTTAAACACAGAATCCAAATAAAGATGGTTTCTGACTTGAATTAAAACAACATTTTCATAAATTAATTTCCATAGTATAGTAAGTCCAAACATTTTGTTACAATCCAATTGTAAGATTTAGCACTAGTCATTTATGTATTCTGTTTAAATAAAGTCATATAAATGGATTAAAATATTAGCTTAGAATACAAATATTCAATCAAGATCTACAAAATAAAAATTATATACTGTTCACCAAACAAATATTGTCAAAAAATGTTGGTAATGACTTAAACAGAATCGACAAATAATATGAGCAAACAATTTAAATCTCTAATACGAAAAAATATTATTTTAAACACTATTTTAATAAAAGAAATTAGTCTCCGTACATATGGACTTTATCCCGAATAGCGTATCTCATATTCGCCAGGGCGTTACCTACAAGAAGTCATCAAATTTATTTGGTTGACATTTGCGGGCTACCGAATACGCGATCCTCCTCTGACTTCTGCCGCTGCGAATGCGGGCCTCCTTGCCTTCGTTTCACTTTTGTTTTTACGTTTTTTGCCGTACTTTTTTCATTTCAAAATCGCGGCATAAATTCCCAAATATATCCACAGCGTGGTCTTGGCTCAGCACATTTTTGGGTCTTTTTACGTTTTTTTACTGGGTCCACAGCTACTTTGTCTTTGCCGTTGCCTGCCATGGGGCAAATCCTTTAGACGACGTCGCATGTTTGCCTTTTTTTGGCACTCTGTGTTCATATGATTTTATTTTTTCTTGCCCATTTGCGGCGTTTTGATATGTTACCCGGTAGCCGTGGAGCCCTGCTCATTTTTTTCCGGCTTGGTGTTGGTTTGTTGCCTGCGGCTATGGCTGCAAAGGACCCATACTCGATTCTCGTACCGAAATGAGCCACTTAAAGCGATGAGATTTTTGGCGTCTGACGGCGACGTCGGCGGCGTTTATCAAATAAATATCTTTGAAATATATAACAAATAATGAAATGCTGTCGCAGTCTGGATCAATGGGCCCGAATTGGTGTTATTAATTGCCGGCAATTGATTTGATTTGTTCTGTGGGAGATGGAAATCCCATGCATCATCCTTAAAGATCATCCAATGCTGTCGCCCCTGCAAGGACCACCCGGTCTCCCAGCATCATTAGCCCGGACTGACCAGACATCTGAGGTCCGGGGAGCGAATTAATTGAAACATTACCTAAGCAAACGTTGCCCAAACGGTGGAACCAACCCGAAAGTTCTCAGGCTAATTGAATTTCCTCGTGTCCTTCCGTCTGCCACCTCTCCCTCGTCCTGCTAGTCCTAGTCCTAGAAAAATGAATGCCTCGCATTTCAAGTGCCGCCTGTGGTCGCTGCTTGTTTGTTCTTTTTATGGGTCTTTGTTGGTTTGTGTTTTCACGCATAAAAATTAAAGTCCCAAAGCTTTTGTCTGCATGGGTTTCCCCATAAGTTCAGAACCCTCTGTCCCCCTTAGTTCCGTCCCCTCATGAATTGGCTTTTGTTGTAAATGTTGCTATCATTAGTCGGCCGGCTACTTAACACGACATTGATGTGGCTTAATTATGCCTAAGACGATCTACGAAGAAGAGCGAGAGAGATTTCAAGGCGTCGAATTAAGGAAACATGCAATGCTTTTAGGTAAATAGCCATCTAAAACCAAGCTTAAACTTGTTATACTGGGCTCAAAAATTATTGCATTATGAATTGAAAATTATATTGATCATTTATTATTTGTTTTCTTTGT